TTTACATGGAGAACAATACCAGAATATCTTTTAAAAGATATAGTTTCTTCTCCAGGGAGAAAAATCTAGTTTCCTATACTGATATATTTAACATTTATTCTAATATGGGACAAAAAAGTTAAATGTGGATAACCTAACCACTATTCCTGAGATGGTTAGCAAAAAATAAACATTTTTCTTATCGTCAGCAAATCCCACAAAAACTAATGAGCAAGGATGGATCTAATAGCATGTTTCCTAAGAATGCTGAGTGACTGATCGCTTCAAACACTCACCCTAGCAGACCCTATTCAATTAATCAGTCATTGTAACTGGAGCAGAACATAGTTAATTATGTTGGCTTCACTGATTCAAGTTAGATTCTTCTTAAAAAGCTATATATATGTACATATATATATAGAATCATTAAGAATGTATGTCATTATTATGAATTACTGCTAAAATCAACAGCAATGAATACACTTCCATATAAAATTCACATTTTAAATACTGCCATGAAAAATTTCAAATATAAATATAGGTAGAGAAGATGGTACAGGAAAAGAGGAGGAATGCTAGACACTAAGCAGCAGCAGGGAAGATGCTGTGATGAATCCCCAAGTATCCAGCCAGGCTCAGCAGCCATCAATTCACAGCCAATCTGGTTTCAACTCTTCCTCCAGCCATTATCACACTTCAACCTCAGTGATTCTTAAGGAAATCCTGGGCTCTGCCTCACTTACCTAAGTCTTCCCATTTGAAGCTCTGAAAGATGATCCTTTTAAAAATGTAACTACAATACCATTATCACGTCTAAAAATAATCAGCAAATATATGTCAACTTTCTTATTTCCCAATGGTCTTCTAAGTTTGTTCAAGTCAGGATCCGAATAAATCCATAAATTGCCATTTGTAAATATGCCTTTCAAGTCTCTTTTAGGCCATCTTTTTCATTTTTCCTTGCAATTTAGTTGAAGAAACTGGGTCACCTGTCCTGTAGTTTTCCAAACTCTGACTCTGGCTAATAATCTTACGGTATCATTTAGCACGTTCCTCTGTCCCCTGTATTTCTAGTGAAGTGGTGGTGAGATTGCGAGACTACTCCATTGTTGTTCTTGATGGTAATGGAGTCGGTTCCAACTCATAGCGACCCTGCATAGGGTTTCCGAAGCTGCACATCTTTGCTATTGCTGTTAAGTGTCATTGAGTTGGTTCCAACCCATAGCGACCCGGTATCGGGTTCCCAAGGAGTGACTAGCGAGCTTGAACCGCCGACCTTGCAGTTCAAACTGACTTTGCAGTCCAGCGCATTAATCCACAGCGCCACACCAGGAGCAGAAAGATAAGACTGGTAGTTTCGAACTGCTGGCCTTGAGGTTAGCAGCCCGAAGCCCGACTCCTAAGCACTACGTTATCAGCATTCCTTAGTTCTTAGTTACCCTCAAGTCAATGCTGACTCATAGCAACCCCACATGTGCAGAATAGAACTGCTCTACTGTGTCTGCAAGACTGACTTTTTGGAAGCAGCCCACCAGGTCCATCTCTGGTAGGGTACTGGGCTGCTAAGCTCAAGGTTGGTATTTCCAGACTACCAGCTGTTCCGTGGGATGAATACGAGGCTTTCAGCTCCCATAAAGATTTACAGCCTGGAAATCCTATATAGGATCACTGTGAGTCGGAATCAATTCCATGGCACATAACCAACCAAATTTTCCAAAAAGCTAGTAATTTAGTGCTTGACCGTTTGTGCCACTCAGGGACTCACAAAACATCTAACTGCTATCTGGTGATCACTGTCTAAAGCCATTCATTCATTAAGGGGGTAAAATGGTGACATCCTAATTCTATCATTCCTTCTTAATCTATTAGCTGAAGCATTTCTTTAAAAGCATATTCCAAAGGTTAAGTGATTTTCTTCTTCACTATCAACACATAGCTCAAGAGAACCTGGTAAGTTTCCATCTCTGGCAAATAATATCCTTACTGATGCTGCAATCCCATGTTTGGCCAGCAGGAATCTCTTCAAGATGCCTCTTGACTATTTTTGGCAGGGCCTCCAATAATCTTTAATACCTTATCTTTCTAGTATGAGAATGTTTTCTAGGCTCTTCTTACTCATTTCTTAACCCAGATCTAGAATTAGCTATTGGTTTCCTTTGAAGAAAAGGATATTTACAGACCACAACTGGGGCATTGTACTTGACTTTAATTTGAATTATGTCCTCTAAGTTAGTTAGGCAGTAGTCTTTGACTATTATTTTTAATAAACTTATATGGCTGCATATATGTGGGTTTTTAAGCATGGGGACTATCGAACTAAAAAGAAAACCAAAAAAGTTATTATTTTTACATGCTAATGGTGAGAGTGTAACTTGGTACATCTGAGAAACAATTTCATAGTTTTTATCAACAGCCTTGTAAAAAGTCTTTTAGGAACGTTCCACTTTCAGAACTTTTTACAGTTTTCCTTGTAGGACTGCTTAAAATAATGAAAAATCTGGAACCAATCTAGATGTCCAAACAGTTGGGAACTGTTTAAGTAAAAAATGTACAATACAATCCAGAGAGTAAAATATTTGTAGTTATTTTAATGATAAATATACAATATCAATGTATTGTTAAATAAGAAATGTGAGTTACAAAAGTGTGCATATTATGCCTTTAACCATGGCCATAAAAAAGTCTTGAAGAATATACCCCAAAGTATTAACAGTACAAACTGGCTGCTTCTCTGTTTCCACTGATGGTTTAGAATGTGACTTTCCTGGGTCACCAAGTCAGATACTACTCCTCCATGTGCTTTCCAACTTCCAAATTTTTCTTCTTTTCAGTTCACCTTGTCCTTGGAGTATGCTCTTTTCTTTCCCAAATCCTCTGTCATTTTAGTTGGGATTTTAGAGAAGAACAGAGGTTGACAGATACTTTATTCATCTCTCCAATGTTACCTAGCATCTTGTTACTTTTAACAGGAGAGAACAGACAGAAGAGAGACCGACCATAATAAAAAACATGAATTCCTATGGAAAATAGTGCATATATGCATATATGTAAGGCATGCAAACAATACAGCACATAACAGCACAGGGCTCTGTTTGCATTGTAACAATATAAATGAATGGATACAGAAAATGATGGGACAACTAAATTTGTAATAAATGGGGAAGTGACTCAAATAGAAGTAGTCTATAATCAAAAACATCAAGTCAGAAATGTTCAAATTGAAGCTGCATTCTGTGAAGCAGGCTACATCATCTTAGAAGTCAAAACTTTTTTTCAGAAAACTACAATTCCTTACAACTTTAGTGACTTCACTAAAGATAAATTGTCCCTGGCAGCTGCTTTTAAACTGTATCCAATTTGCTCTAGTTTTGGGAGACCATGATCCCTTAAATCTAGACCATGGCCATCTCCTCCTATACCCCGAAGGCGGGCTAACACTTCTGCTTGGGAGTAATGTATTTACTATACTGACGCTTGTATTTGTTTCTTAGGGCTGCAAGAACAAAACACTACAAACTTGTGGCTGAGGAGAATAGAAATGTATTATTTCACAATTCTGCCTGGCTAGTAGTTCAAATTCCAGGTGTCGGCAGGGTCAAGTTCTCTCCCAAGGATCATTCTAGTCTCTTGGGCTTCTGGTGGTCTCAGGCACTCCTCGGTTTGCAGTTGCAGAGTAACTATACAGCCATTTGCCCTATTTGTCTCTTTGTGCCTCTTTTCTTTAGAAGGTTGTCACTCAAACTAAGACCTCAAGTTAACTGTTGACATCTTCAAAGATCTGGTTTCCAAACAAGGGCGTGTTCACAGATACCAGGTATTAGGACTTTGACACATCTTTTTAGAGAACACAATTCAGTATCTAACAACCCTCATATACCTTTAATCAGAAATAACTTAAAAAGAAACTAAGATGCCTTCTTAAACACAAGCACCCACATTTTCATAGGTGCCATGGAAACCTAGTCCTGTCTGTGGAGAAACAAGAATTACTAGGTTTTAACATACGTAAACCAAAGGGATTTGTTGTTGTTGTTAAGTGCTACTGAGTCAGTTCTGACTCATAGTGAGCCTGCATGGGGTTTCAAAGGAGCAGCTGGTGAGTTTGAACTGCCAACCTTGCGGTTCAAACAGACCTTGCAGTCCAGTACATTAACTTGCAGCACCACATCAGGGCTCCAACTAAAGGGACAGAGACACAGAATTAAAAATAGAGCAGCAGTTTGCTCAATTTGGACCAATCTTCAGTTTTCACTCTTCTGTAAATATAACCAATACGAAGTAACAAAAGCACCTCAAAAAACAAGACTGATCAGAAAAAGCTGGCTTTTCCTTAAACTAGTCCTTTCCAAAACTGCATGACACTATGGGGACCACCAACTGCAGAAACTGTAACAACCTGACTTTATTATGCAGCAGATTTTCTGAGTTGCCTGAATTTAAGAAAGTAGTGGTCGGAAGGGATATTTTAAAACAACAGAAAGTTAAATATTCAACTGTAAATAATAACAACAGGTCTACAATGAATTCATCAATACTGCTGATTTTATAAATAAACATAATTAACAGTTTGATGGTCCCTATATTAACAAAGTAACTTTCAAAGTCATTTTCTATTTACTTATTTAACAAACAGTACTTATACCTGACCTAGGTTTATTAAAATAAAACAAAGGGAAAACAAGCATTTGGGTTCAGTTATTCTGTACAGGGCACCAACCTGAGTTTACATGTTCTATGTTCTGCTTTCTTTACTCAATTCTTTTTCCAGGTAACTCTGAAATGCCAATTCTCTCCTATTCACTAAGAATTTGACAAAGTAGGAAAATGTTGACTCAATATTTTGAATTATGTTTATCATAAAACTAGACTTCTATAATAAATGAGGTACTTATCACTCAGAGCCTTGCAAAATAGACATAAATAAGACTACAGGTTTCCAAAATGACTCAGTTGTTCCACCAAGACAAAAAATCTGAATACTGATTAGGAACAATGTAAAGCAGTTGAGATTACTTGAGAGATTTAAAAATGTTCTTTTGTATTTAAAGAGATAGCTAAGGATGTATTTTCTACATAGGATTTCAAACAAAGAATTGACAGGGATTCTTCAGTAGGAATAGACAATGCTTTATCTGCTTAACTATCTTGTTCATTTAGTATGGAACAGTTGCCTGTGGGCAGCTTCTTATGATAGTTTTCAGAGTTCAAAGAGTATGGAACCTTAAAGTTGATTTCATCAAGTCTATTTATTAATGCATTTCAAGTTTCAAAAATCCTTACATCTTTGCACATTACTTTTATTTTTTGCAATTTTTAGTAAAAATTTCCAAAGTGAACAAAAGATACTGTATAAAACACAGTGGACATTAAACTGACAGTAGTATTAGAGCTCATTTGTCTTGATCCTTTTGTTTTACCACATCATGATTTGCAGTGGAACGAGTTCAGTGCACATATCTCTTTTCAGAAAACATTTAACTTAGACTCAAAATAAAATAGGGCAGTGTGTACCTGCCAAAATCCTACCACAGGATAACATTACAAGCAAAAAATGTACAAGTTCCAAAGTCTACCACACTCAAGAAGTTACTAAGAACTCTTGCAGAATATAAGTCACCATTTTAGAAATGCAAACCCACTTCCAACCTTTGCACAGTCCAAAAACAAAGGCATTTAAATGATTTAAAAGTAATTACATACATAGATACCTACTTGTTTGTTTAGAATTATTTATAGTCTATCTGGGATTTCATGTACAAAATTTGTCTCTAAATCATGTACAAAAAGCTGTATTTTGAAAAAAGTCACCACATACTGTACAAGTTTACAAGGAAGAGATCCCATTATTTTCTCTAGCATTTTTGGCCTTGCTGGCTTGCGTCACATTATGAGAATGATTGTGTAAACCTTATACTCTTAAGAAAAAAAAGGAAAATAAAAAAAAAGCCCAAACACAGAAATCTTTTCAACTTTCCCTAAATTTGCCTCCTATGTGAAGCCAGGAAAATCACAGCTGTTTACTTCTAATTTAAGTGATGTCGTTGGAAAACAGAAGCAATAAATATGTCACAAGCTTAGTTTTTTTTAATGCCCCTTCCATTTCCTGCATAGCAATAAGCCTGTTAATACATTACATGCTTTTGCTTTCTTTCTTAAGATGCCAATTATTTACACCTGTTTAAAAAATAAATTTGGGATGGGACATTGTGCTGTTTCACCTTCATTGTTGGTAAAGTATTTTAGGGGGAAAAAAGTCAGAAGGCCTATCTACAATTTTAACTACTAGTTGAGCAAATTACTCCTTTAGTGGTTACCAATAATCAATGGCTGAAAAACCTGTTCAAATCTTTTGATACAATAGACACTGCTTTTCTTTTCCATGTCAGATAGAAACAAAACATAATTAGCATACTTTAGATATATGGAAAACACAAATAAGCAGGCTATAAAAGAAAAACATCATTTCATGGACACAATTTCTACCAAAGCATGGACATTTCCTCTATCAATTCAAACAATGGAATTGAATTAGAAAGTGTAAAATAGGTAAGCAGAAACCAGACATTTACATAAAGAACTCTGAAGTCGTATGCTGCATATGTCCAGTTTGCACATTTCTTAACTGCGTTCTTCAGCATAGTAACTCATGTGTGCTCTTCTTAGCAGCTATTTGATAAAAATAAAATGAATATCAGACCCAACTCCATAGTAAGAAAAAGGAAAACTGATTCTCATTTCAAACTGCCTGTGTAAAGCATTACAGAATCCTGGACCATTGAATACCACCATTCTCTGTTATCCTGAGTATGTCAATTAAACAGTAATTTTTCATTAAGAGCGGAAAAATTTTATAATACAAAGAAACATCCATATTGCAATTTCTGTTTACAATTGCACACAGAAGTACAGTGTACGTAAGAAATACATGTCTGCATATAACAAGGTATGTACATTGGCAAGTGATGTCTCCAATGTTGAGGGGGTCGAGCCTCCTAGCCTTCATTGGCAATTGAAAAAAATATATATATATATTTCAATTTGTGATAAAAGTTTATCGAGAGCCAAGTTTGCCTGCAAGTGAAGAAAATGCAGCAACGAAGAACAGGGAACATGGGGCACATAATAATATCCTAAGACTTTGTGCCATTAGGTTAAAAATATCTGTCCATAAGAAAATTGGGTTCCTTTTCCACCTCCCACCCCCAAATTGGAATTTTCAGGCTTTAAGTAATTCCACCTGGTCTGAGGACATGATTTCTTGCCATTTTTCCTTCGACTGTTATTTGTGAGGGTTTAGCTTGGGGATGATGACTTAATAGGTTTCTCTTTGGAGTGAAGTTTTCCCATTGTAGGCACTAGGAAGAACCAAGGCAAAAGCTGCAGTTAACGTCTCATGTGTCCCATTTGGTAACTCTCCCGGGGCCTCTGACGCTGGGGTTGCTGAATGGGCTGTGGGGGTCTCCTCCTCTTTAAAGTGCCTGTGAGTCACAAACAAAAGCAAAATAAGACTTACTGTGAGCTTCTCTAGCCTTAAAAAGTTACTGTTTAAACAAGTGCTATCAACTAGAAAGATACAAATAGTCGGAGCCACACATATAACACTGAGCATTCCGTATTGTCACAACAAAACGTACACTGTCTAAGAGTCTGCAGACTCACAGCAACTGCAGAGGACAGAGGAGAACGGAAAATCTTCACAGGAGGACACTGTCCCAACTTTTCCCACCAGAGCCACTGACCTTTAGGTTAGCAACCAAATGCTTAACCAACTGCACCACCAAGCCTCCTTACACTAAGTATAACCACAATAAAATGGAAACTGGTAAAATTAAATTTTTATATTCTACTTAGCCCAAGAAGCCCTGTGGTAGCACAGTAGGATAAAAATAGAATGCTAATCACAAGATCAGCTGTTCAAACCCACTAGCCATTCTCAGAAATCCTACGCAAGGTCACTATGAGTCATAAACAGCTTGATGGCACACAACAACGTTTAACCCAATATAGCCAAGATATTACCACTACATGTCACCAATATAAAGAATTACTAATGACATGTTTTACATTCTTTTTCTAATAGTGTCTTCAAAGCCCGTTGTTGTTGTTAGGTGCCATCGAGTCGGTACCAACTCATAGCGACCCTATGCACAACAGAACGAAACACTGCCCAATCCTGAGCCAACCTCACAATTGTTGCCACGCTTGAGCCCACTGATGCTGCCACTTGGCCAATCCATCTCGCTGGGGGTCTTTTTCTCTGACCCTCCACCTTACCAAACATGATATCCTTCTCCAGCGACTGGTCCCTCCTGACAATGTGTCTGAAGTATGAGAGACGAAGTTTGGTCATCCTGGCCTCCAAGGAGCACTCTGGCTGCACTTCTTTCAACCCAGATCTGTTGGTTCTTTTGGCAGGAAGCCCATGGCACTTTCAATATTCTCCTCCAACACCATAACTCAAAAGCATCAATTCTTCTACAGACTTCTTATTCACTGGCCAGCTTTCACATGCATATGAGGTTATTGTAAATACCATGGCTTGGGTCAGGCACACCTTAGTCTTCAAGCTGACATCTTTGCTCTTCAACACTTGAAAAGGTCTTGTGCAGCAGATCTGCCTAATGCAATACGTTGTTTGATTTCTTAACTGCTGCTTCCATGAGCCCGATAAGTATTTTACAAGACTAACTACAGTCAACAGTCACAAGTACTAGACAGATTAATCTAGATTGGTATCACTGACTCTGAGTGTCTCTGGGCAAATGACCACAGATTGAGTCTCACTTACAGGGATGATAATTAAATCATATCATTTGCTGCATTTAGCCTTTTCTATAAGAGTTTAATAAATGACAGCTAGTTTTGGATTTTTTTTTTAATGTAAATTTCTAAAGTAGCACTTGCTTAAAATAAAACCAATAGACAAGTAAAATAATTACTTCATGTAAGATCATAATTGATAACAGTACTTTTAAAGTGTCATGTGGCTCTTGGGAATGCCTGAGAAATTGGCATAAATTTCAGACTAGTAACATCATGAATCCATGAAAAACAATATTAGCTTCTTCTGATTTCCACCAAGATAATGCACCATCATGAACACTGGGCTCCACTGTCCCAAGACAGGGAAACTAACTTAAGGAAGTAGTCTCAGAAATTATGTTGGGGATTTGTCATATAGCAAGAGGCATCATTGGAAGGTTGTGGGAGGTAAGAAAATTGCTGGCATTTAACTCTGGTTTTCCCCTGCCATTGCCTTGAAACAAAGTCTTCCCCACATGCCCACAGTGGGCAGAGTTCTGGTCCAGATGTCCTGAGGCATAAAATCAAGAGCATCAGGAAGCCACAAAAACCTTGAGAATGGGTAGGGGGAAACAGGTGGGGGCAAATGATCTGGAGTCATTGTTCCCTATTCTTTTCTCCACCAAATCTCCAGAGCTAATCTAAAGTGGGCTCTCCCTAAAGCTGAGTCATCCTTGATCTCCAGTGAAGAACAATATATCATGGTTATGTGTTGTCTGAAGCTTTTACTCTAAAACTCTCCCAAACAGGGTCCATATTTTCCTATAGGCATCCCCTCTTGGGGAAAACAAGTTTAAATTTCAGAAAATATTCAAGGATACAAATATATATATATACACACACACACAGGATAGATTAGCATTTTAATTGACAATTATTAGCTAGAGATGGATAAATAGCACATTTAAATAGCAAGTAAATCATTCATTCAGTAATCTCAATCCCAAGAAGAAAAGTACTACAAATTAGTTGCTGAAGATTTATTTATAATTCAATTCCACTTGCTTTATGGTTTGAGTTATATAAACATTTACTTGTTCCAACTGTCTTACCTGGAAGTGGTTTAGGAGGAGGCAACTTTGGATTACTACTTGGAGTATGAACACTGCAAATTTTTATGAATCCAGCCATTAACATGATCAAGGCAATTCCCATAAGTAATACTGCCCACCAATGAGCCTGGAAAAGAAAGATTTTCAACTTTTCAAAAACCCTGTATTTTCAAATATTTCATATTATTAAACATAGAATGGGAACACGGGGTGGCTCCATACAATAAACAATGGACTGCGAACCACAAGGTATGGTTTGAACCACCAGATGCTCTGCAGGAGAAAGATGAGACTTTCTGCTCCCATGAAGATTTAAAGCCTTGGAAACCCTATCCAGGGTCATTATGATTCGGAACCAACTCGACGGCATGTAACAACATTTTATATATATATATGCATGTGTGAATGATGTATGTATATGTGTGTGTGTAAATATACACAGAAAGAGAGAGAGTGTGTGTGAGAGCAAGAGACTGCACAAGTGCATCCTGGTGTGGCGCTGTGGGTTATTGTGCTAAGACTGCAAAGTCGGTTTGAATCACAAGGTCGATGGTTCAAGCTCACCAGCCACTCCTCGGAAACCCTACACAGGCTTGCTATGAGTCAGAACCAACTCGACGGCACTTAACAACAACAACAACATTTATTTAAAAACCTAGACTAGAACATACTACATTTTATTTTTATTGAACTTTTATTGGTTGGGAGCTGTGTGTATATCATCATATTGTTGTTAAGTGCCATCGATTCACTTCAGACCCATAGTGACCCCCTTTGCAGTCTAGAGCATTAACCCATAGGGTCACACCAGGACTCCATACATTTATCAATTCCTAGTACGTATAGAAAAGTTTATAAAGTAAAAACAGTTATTATTCACAATTCTTCTTTCTTTCATAATTCCATTTAGTTTATCTCCTTTCAGTTACTTTTCTATACATAATTGTTTATCATATAAACACAAAAACACATACTTTAAGATGGAGTCATCCCTGCATATAATTTTATGCTCTTCTATGCAATGTTAAATCATATTTTAAGACATTATTAACTATTATCTGGTTTGAATACTTGTTTTTTGGGGGGGGGGTTGTTCCTCTTATGCTATAGACTATGCTTTGTTTTCTTCTATACTCTCCAGTGACTTAATAAAGTATGTAACTTGCTTTGGATTCTACTAATGGATAGATTTTTAAAACCCTTTAACCTATATTTCTCTAATCACCAAAGTTAAGACTGAAATCCAATCTTTTTTGAGGCCCCTTTTTTCTGACATTTTCTCCATTTCATTTGGAATTTAAGATCCAAACTACAGTTAAGACAATTATTTTTATATGTATGTTTTCATTATAAGGAGCCCTGGTGTCGATGTAGGATAAGCACTGGACTCTAAACTCAAGGTTGGTGGTTTAAACCCCCCAGCAGTTCACTGGGAGAAAGCTAAGGCTGTCTGCTCCTATAAAGATTTACAGTCTCGGGAATCCCATCGGCTGCTATGAGTCCATTTGTTTTGTTTTCATTATATCTACTGTACATATCCTTCTATCTATAAGTACATGTGTGTGCATATAGAGCTATAGTGAAAGGTTAAGTGGGTGTCTTTTTTAATATGAAAAGCAGAAGGATATACCTATTCTACCAGTGGACAAAATGTACCCCAAGAAGTCAAAAGTTCACTTTTACCTTAAACCTAACAAGCAGCAAATTAATTCACCTAACAAAAAGACTTCAAAAAATTACTGGAATAGAAGCCATCAAGGCAAGCAATCAAGTTCCTTCACGACAAACCCCCCTCTAAGACCGAAACTCAAAATGAGCACACGAGCAGGCGTGTAAGTTTGCTGGTGCCCATGCTGGTCTACTGGTTAGTGGGCGACGGGAAAAGGCAGCGACGAAGATAGGGGCTGAGTTCAACCACATTCCACAGACCTGGAGATGAGAGAGAGAAGAGGAAGAGTTGGATGGTCCAAAGTGTGGTGAGACCTAGGGACACCTGAGCCCATAGACAAGCTGAGAGTGAAGTATCCAGCTGATATGAAATGAGGGAAGTTGCACAAGGACACCCAAACTTGCAGACAGTACTCATGTGACCTAGCCTTGATGGCTTGATAATCAGAACTCGACTGGAGGAAGATTAAAAAAAAAAAAAAGAACAAAAAACAATTTTTGATAAAGGAAACAAGGGTAAATTGCTACAATTTGATGAACTTCATCTATACTCATGGACTAGTAACTCCAAATACCATCAGAGAGGGAAGGAGTCTTCACATCAAGTATCTATGCTATCCCCTCTGTACATAGGGCAGATAGGGATGGGCAACTTAGACACTGGCTACCTATAATGAGGAGGCAATAAAGGCATGAAGTGACTGGCTTACAAGGTTTCAAGGGGGTGTTTAGTTTAATAGTGTGTGGGGCAAGAAAGAGTCCCCACTGAATAGTTTTCATCTTGTCTACAAGGATCTGGGGAAAAGAGATGGGGATAAGATTCTTATGATTCAATAGTAACTGTTATCATGACTAATTGTGACTGTTAACAATTATAAAGGCAAAAGTTTTGTAACAGAAACAGGGGAGTAGTTAATCTTACGGTCCAGAAACAGAGGACCTTGGGACCATCAAGGGAGAAGAAACAGATGGAATGCGGAAACTTATCCAGAGAAGCAGTGATACCAGAGATGAAGGCAGAGATGGGGACATGGAGAGAGGGAGCAGATGAGGGCTCTAGATAGATACATGGGAAGATAAGGACTAAGACATGGCGGCCAGGAGGCATACTTGCAGAATGTGCCCTTTGGTGGTGTAAATTATTATATTTGCCTGAGTGGTTGTTTTTTTGTTTGTTTGTTTTTTAAAAGCTAAAGTGAATAGAGAGAAATACTGTTAACTGATGGTACATGGAGGGGATTATAATCATTGTAATCAAAAAGGTGTATGATTTGTTGAATGTAAAACTAATGATCTGCCCTGTAAACTTTCACTCAATCCATAATAAAAACCTTTTTTAAAAAAAATTACTGGTACAGTCTTATGGAAAAATTAGTTTCTATTCTTTTTTTTTTTTAAATGTTAAGCAAGATTTTATTTGGGAATAAACTATATTGCTGCAGCAAATTATGTCATTAATTCCTGTGATCTTGGGTTCACAGTGGCATGAATTCATCAGCTTCTCCACGAGAGTTCCGGATACCCTGATTCAGTCCAGTTGTATTGTTTCAAAGTTATTTAAGCAATATCATTAGAAGCACATGCCCAAAATACCTGGCACAGGTCTTGCCTGGGTCTCTAAGATAGTCCCCTTTTTTGAAATACTCTGGCCTGTGACTGAGTACAAGCAGTTCCAGGGAATCATCAGAGTGCAATGCTAGCTGTAGATAACAATGGTCATAGTTAACTTTTTTTTTTTAATGTTTTATTGTGAATTATGTGATAGTTTACATGGGAGAAGATTCGCTTTACATCGTTCCTATTGTATATCGTTTCATTGCCATGGTTCGTCCCCTCTGCGCATCATCAACCAACCAAAGGGTATATATACCCTGCAAGCCTGCCCTCCGGTCATCAGCATACAGCCCCTCTCCCTCTCTGTGTCTAGAGTCCCCGGCTACTCCATCTCTCCAAGTCATCATCACTGTCTCCATCTCTGGCGTCACTGCTTCTCTGAGTAGGGTTTCACTCTCCGCTCTTCTCCCTTGATGGTTCCAGGGACCTCCGCTCCTGGACTGCAAAGTCAGTCACTCCCCTTCTTTTGCTACAAAACGTCTACCTTCACATTTTCAACCCTCACAGTCAGTCCTGATAACAATTATTGACCATTGTACCCCCAAGGGTACATCTCCTTTCATTAGTCCCGTCCAGACAGACTGGATACTACTCAGTGGAGATTCTACCTTCCTCCATGCCTTCTGTATCTAGGTTCCCTCTTGAAAGCTTGTAAGCCAGTCACGTCTTTCCTTTGAAGCCCCACCTCCCCCCATTTTGGGTAGCCAATGTCCAAGTTGCCCAACCCTGTCTACTCTGTGTATAGAGGGGATGGGAATGATCCTCGCTGTAAAGATTTGTTCCCTCTTTTGAGCTACTGCATCCATAGGTGTAGGTCAAGTTCATCAAATTCTATCAGATTACTTTTCTTTTTTTTCCTCTTCTAGTTGAGCTCTGATCATCCAGTCATTGAAGCCAAGTCAACTGGGTATTATCTGCAAGTGTGGGTGTTCTTGTGCATATGCCCTCTCTTCTTATCAGCTGGATGCTTCACTCTCCACTCTAGTCCTCAGTGGCTATGTCACTGACTCTGGGCCCAGGAGCCCCCAGGTGTGCCACACTGCTGGCCAACCAGGTCTCCACCTGGGTTCACAAGAGTGTATTGAACGTTATAGGGCTTAGCTTGCACCTTCATTGCTGTTTTCCCCTCACTTCCCCTTTTTGGTGACAAACATGGTTACCAATTAGAGCGTGTATTCCCACTGAGTCTTAGTCTTGGAAGGGGGTTTGCCCTGAGGGAAGCCAACCACTTGCCTTGATGTCTCCTGGGCGAGCAACTTGCTTGTTCTAGTAGTAATCAGTCAGACTGCCTATATTGTTTTGTATTTTTCCTGTCAGTCTTTCTTTCAAGAAGTATCTTCTGTTCTTCTAGCCACTCCAGGCTAATCTGCTTGTCCTTTCTAGTGGAAATTTCCTACCTCAGATGGGGTTCAGGATTCCACCTATGGGCTTATGTAATGCAGAGGCTCCATAGGAAGCCTCCTTCACTGGGCACCTTGTAGCCCCACTGTAGGTATTCCAATCAGTTATAGGCAGAAGACGATTTACAAGTTTTCTATGGTAATATTTCTGGCTATTCCTTTCTCTTCCTGTTTCTATTCTTAATCAATTCTATTTCAGTTCCACATGTTCAAATTTTGTTTCTAGTACATACCAATAAACATCATATAAAATAGTTACAATTTTAAAACTGTGAACCTTCATATTAGGTAAACACAATACTGTTATAAATACATACATGATTATTATTCATTATTGCTAGAGAAACTCCCAGTTAATCTATTCCATGATCTGGGCTTTTCCATGCCATGAATAACCCATATCACCAGTGCACACTGGTAGAAGGGCCCCTCCTGTGCCACACCA